CCCCGCCTCGGCTGCGCGCCCTCGCCCAGTTCTCAGCCGCCGCTCTGCCCCGCAGCAGCCAGCCCCGTCTCCGGCAGCATGTTCAGCTGGGTCAGCAAGGATGCCCGCCGCAAGAAGGAGCCGGAGCTCTTCCAGACGGTGGCAGAGGGACTGCGGCAGCTGTACGCGCAGAAGCTGCTGCCCCTCGAGGAGCACTACCGCTTCCACGAGTTCCACTCGCCGGCGCTGGAGGACGCTGACTTCGACAACAAGCCCATGGTGCTGCTTGTGGGCCAGTACAGCACGGGCAAGACCACCTTCATCCGGCACTTGATCGAGCAGGACTTCCCTGGGATGCGCATCGGGCCCGAGCCCACCACCGACTCCTTTATCGCGGTCATGCACGGCCCCACAGAGGGCGTGGTGCCTGGCAACGCGCTGGTCGTCGACCCGCGGCGCCCCTTCCGGAAGCTCAACGCCTTCGGTAACGCCTTCCTCAACAGGTACCCGTCCCTTGCCTTGGGGGTCTGGGGGGGGACGACTCGGGCGCGGGTCCGACCCTCCCGCGGCCGCCGCCCCACCGTCCTTTGTCTACGAGACCCGGGGCAGGATCCCTCAGTGACCAGTCTTTGGGACAGGGTCCCCTCTCTGCCGCTTCGCATAGAAAACTCACTTGTGGGTCTGGGAGTGGGCGTCGTTGGCTACCCGAGAATTTTCTAGGATATCAGTTTAACTCCCAAAGGTCCTAGCCCCACTTCTCTCAGAACCAGGCGTTAGTCCTGTCTCCACCTCCTTCGCCCAGACTGGAGGCACGTAATTCATTCAAACCACCACCCCGCTTCCTTCAAAGGTCTTTTTTAAGTGTGTGGGAGAATTAGCCATTCCCTTTGCTAGTGTGATGTGTTGTGCCTCCCCTGGGGCCAGTGGTTTTGTGTGGGAGGTACAGGGAGGATCTGCTGTGGCCTGGTGAGTTTAGAGCAGCAGACAGCTGGGGTTGGAACACTCCTCCCAGGGTCTGTGCTGTGTTAGGGGTTTCAGCAAGCAGCCTCAGGTGGGAGCCCTGGGAGCCCTGGAATGAAATTCGGGCCCTGAGTCCCTATGTAGATTCTCTAAGAGGTTCCTTAACCTACTTGGACCTCTGTTTCTCCAGTTAAATGGGTGAAACCTGCCTTATGATGATGAGGATAATCCTCCAAGATTCTAACTATGGTGCTACTAGTGAAATGCAGTCACCTCTTCTAAGCAGTGTAGCTGCTAAGCTGACTTTTCTCTAAAGGAACTCGGAGGTGCTAGTCAGTGTTCTTAAAATCTCTGCCCCCACCCCCATGGCATGTACACAGATCTGCCCTCTCAGCCACCCCCCCATTCAAGGAATGACTGCATATGCCTTTTGAAGTCTGGGTCTGGGTAAGAGTCTAGGAAAGAATCCTTGACTCTTGCCTTCAGGTCTCCGCCCTGTGTGCTCACATTCCTTTCCAGACACTGTCCAGCCGCACAGGGTGGACCAGCTTGCCCCCAGTCCAAGCTCAGGGACAGGCCTACCTCCAGGAACAGAGCTGACCTTTAACAGAGAAGACAGGCAGGCTACTCTTGTCTTTTTGCTCTTTCCAGGGCTTTAAGCATGTTCTCTTAATTTTTGTACCATTTGTGCATTAGGGCCAGAGTTGAGTAGCCCTTTGGTGAGACTCCTGAAGAGACATGGCCCCTCTTAACCTGGAGCCTTCCTCTGGAGTATGCTGGTGTTTTAGAATTATTGTGCCTGTAGATAGGGGATTGGCACCCACTGTTAGCTGGTGGGCACAGTGTGATCTTGTGGAAAGTTTTGCTGCTATGCTGGGAATTCCAAGCATTATTAGGTCTCTACTTTCACACAGAACTTTGGGAAGCTAGCATAAGGGTACCTTGGCTGTCCTTAGCTCTCACTTCAGCTTGTGAGAGCAGACTTTAGACATCTAGGCATCCTTACCTCATTGGTTCAAGAAACTGCGGCCTGAGCCAGGTCGCTTTGTTGAGCTCACCCGGTGGATGCAACACCGACTGTGTTTGTGCAGCCAGTTACTATTCTATTGCTTTTACTGCACAAAGAGCAATTCAGGAGTGCTGGGTCCCAGCCGGGTGCTTTGATGATGTTGGTGCCACAGGATGCGACAACCACACTTGTTTCCTTCTTCAGAGAGTCCCCAAATGCTAATAGCCCTGTCGAAAGGGGCCTCATCAGCCGAGGATGGTAGGGAAGGGAGAGATCGTGGGTTTACACTTTTGCGGAGGCCCCGAGCAGTGTCAGCTTGTGCTTCCCCTCTAGCCAGGGCACACAAAGGGGGTGCTTCTCTGGCAGACACAGCCTCTCCCAGAGCTCTTAAAGAGACCCGTTGAGTCATGAACTTGACTTTCCAGCTTTTTCCCCCTAAGTGGCTGCTCTGGGACTGAAATCAGATGGAGCAAGCTGAATGAGGCAGGGCATAGTCAGGATATCCTCGTTGCTTAACTGGTACCGCCCACTTGTAGTGCGAGGTGAAATCTGCTCGGCGCCTCCCTGTTGGTGAGGAGATGGGCTGGGACGCAGCTGTACTGCCCCCTCCCTCTCGCTTCCCGCCACACGCCTGGGCTTTGCAGAGCAATCGTTTGAGTCCTCCAGATGTTGACTCCTCACCAGGCTGGTTCACAGGCCTCATTATGTATGTTACTCCCACAGCTATTCTGCTTCAAATCCTTTTAGTTCGTCTGTCTCTCAGAGTGACTCCCTTCCCTAGCAGGAACCCCAGCGACACGCACTTATTTATTATAGCACTCGGGCTCTGCTGCTGGCACTGGGGAGGATGAGGTCTGAGGTTTGCTCACCCCGCGGGTCAGCTGGTTTTGCTCTGTTGTGTTGCAGGCAGCACCTCTCACCTCTGGCCAGCTGCCCCGGCCTGTGGGCCACTGGTCAGCTGGGGGGTGGTGCCCACGGGAAAGCTCAGCAGCTCAGATTTCTCCCCGCTGTCAGACAGGCAGCGTTAAGCCTGTGTCCTACAGACAATGGGTCAGTATTTTCTTTGCTCACAATACCTTTTTCAGAGAAGTTTTCAAAGGCGCCTTTACTGTGTGCAGTCAAGAACCCCTGCTCTCAGCTGGGATAGCCTCTTGCTGTCCTGGGCTGTTCTCAGTCCAGTGGGAACTTAGGCACACACAGCTAAGCCTTCATTATGTTGCCAGCCTCTTTGTGGCTTCAATCTTCCTGGACCAGATTGACTTTCAGAGAATGGTGTCAGGACTTCCCTGCCCCACCACCTAGCCTGTGTGGTCCCCCAGCTTTTACTGGCTGCCCACTGCAGTCCCTCTCCCCAAGCAGCTGGGTGGAGGGGGAGGGCTGGGCCCAGCAGCAGCAGGAAAGAACCATCTCTCTTCTATGTGTGGCAGTGCAACCAAATGGTTAAAAATTTTAATGTAGAAGCCCAAGGTTTCAGTGTCACGCTTCTGCTTCTCTTCTGGATTGGAATGGTGACCCAGGCTCGTGCAATTTTCCCTAACACATCAGCAACTTGAAAGCTGAACTTTTGAACTCTGGGGGAAAAGCTAATGCGAAGGAAGTGCCGATGGTCAGTCGAGCCTGCCGGTTGGATGCCAGTGAAGAGACCATGTAGTTTGCTGGCCACTCCTGGGAGACTAAGGTGATAGAAAACCTCCTTTAAGTTCCATGTTTCTGGGAAGGAAGCGGAGGTGGCAGTGGAGCACGGAAGGCGCTGCTGCTGTGCCCTCCAGAGCAGCGATGACTGAACCTTGACCTCTCTCCCTGGCTCTCGCTCCTACGCAGGTTCATGTGTGCCCAGCTGCCCAACCCGGTCTTGGACAGCATAAGCATCATCGACACTCCTGGGATCCTGTCTGGGGAGAAACAGCGCATCAGCAGAGGTAAACAGCCTGCGACACTGCCCAAGGCCCCTGGGGTGGTCACACCACATCTATCCGTCTATCCGTTGTTGGTGACGCAGACCAGATGCCGCCCTCGAGGTCTATCCCAGCCCAAGTGAGAACCCATTTCCCATCAACCTCATCTGTCATCAGTGCTCCAAGCCCTGAGAGGCACAAGCTGCTTTCTTCCTTGGTTCTCTTTGCTAAGGTTGCAAACAGCCAATGTTGTGTGACTTTCATGCTTTTCAGCTGCCAGGACATGCTTGAAGGGACAGGACTGGCTGTGAGGCCACAGGAAATTGCTCAGTAACTGGGCTGCAAGGTACCTCAGCCGGCTCTGCTGACTGTGAATGAGCCCCTGGCTCCCTGGGGCTCACTCACCTTAGTTTGTGTTTAAAAGCTTTGCCTCCCAAAGCCACGTACGTTCCTATTAAGTCCAGCAGCCTGGGGGAGAACAGTTTGACTTGAACAAGCCCCATAAGGAGATGCTGGCAAGTATGTAACTATTTACGAGCTAGTGGAAATGTGTTTAAATTTGCGTAAATGTTGGTAAGCAGCGGCCACCCTGGGTGCTGTACGAGGGGCGGGTTTTCATCCGGAGTATTAGCACACCAGGCCCATTCCCGTTTTGTAAACTGGCTCGATTCTGCTAGGCTTTGGTTCAGAATGTGCCTGAACTGCATCTTGTTTCTCCTGCCCACCCCCTTTTTGTAGCAGGGAGGGGAGCTCGGGGCCTGGAGAAGCGGGAGGGCAAGGGCAGTGACATCTGGCAGGCCAGGAGTGGCACCTGCCGCTGCAAAAGTACAGATGAAATGAGATCAGACTCAGAGAGGGGCTGAAGACAAGCGACCGGTTTGTTTAACATCAGCTTGTAGATCTTTCCCATGCCCCTTTCCCTCTGGGCAGCCCAGCGTCTGTGAGCTTTGCAGATGAAGCCAGCAGCCTGAGATCTGGGAGGTAGTGTGTCTTTGCTGTGGCTGTGAGGTTGTCGTGGTGAGGGGACCTGTTCTCGGTGCTGTCAGACCTTGCTTCTCTCCT